CACCTGAGCCGCAGCCGGAGGTGCCGGGGCGAAGGTGACCTTGGAGCCTGCGTCACGGCGCGGGCCGCCCCGCTCCTGCGCTCCTGCGCGGCGTTCCTGTCCCAGGAAGGAGCCGGGTGCCACCAACCCGCCACCCGCCCTGCAGCATCCCGGCTGCAGCACTGAGCCCTCCAGTGCTCGAGACACATGGGGACATCCTGCTGCCAGCGCAGCGTGTCCCACTTGCCCAGCTGCCAGGGCTCCCAATGCAACTGGTTTTCCCAGGGTTTCCCCCCAGGCACCTGGCTCAGCAGAGTTCACACGTCCTGGCACTCATTTCTGCCCTGCACTTAGCAATTCCCGGCCCTTGCCAAAGGATTCCTGGAGGATGCCGCGCTGCAGTCAGGCAGGGAGGTGCTGCGGGCACCACAGGAGCCAGGACAGGCACGTACAGGACCCTGGGGGCCATGGGACACTCAACCCAAAGGGGGCCCTTGCAGGAGAGCCCCTGGGGGCCAGCCTGGCTGCTCGGCCGGGGCTCTCGGCACGGCCTTTTCCTGCGAGCGCGGAGCAGGGAAGGGCCGCGGGCTGCCGAGCGGCTCCGGAAGGAACTGAGTCCAGCCCGGAGTCCGGCAGTCTCCGAAAACACAATCTCTCCGTGACAGGATGGACAGGAATCCAGAGTGAGTCACGCGTTTTCCAAGACCCTCAGTGGACAAGAAGTGCCCCGGTCACCCCTGGTCACCGCTCCCCGTGTCCTTGTGCTCCTGCCAGGCTGCGCTGCCTCCTGGGACGGCCGGCTCCTGCTGGGAGCAGGATCTGCGCTGCAGGAGCTTGTCCTGACCCCAAGGAGAGCTGCAGGACAACCGGCTCGGCCAGGTCACGCCTCGCCAAGTCCCCCGGCGCTGGTATTTTCCACTCCGCAGCGCAATCCCCTGAGCCGCCCGATGCCCGGCCCCGTGTCGGCCCCCGCCGCCTTCTGCCCCGGAGGCGCGGGAGCCTCTCCCGCGGGCACAGGGAGGGAGCTGCAGTGCCGCAGAGCAAAGTCCACCCGGTGGGTGGCACACGCGGGATGCGGAGCAGGCAGTCGTGCAAGGATCCTGCTCACACAGGGATGCTCCTCTCTGGAACCAGAGTGAATCCTGCCCCGGGAGCGTGAGCAGCCCCCGGCCTCCATGCGGATCTTTTCCATGTTTTGGAGGAGCAGAGCAGAGGGGAGAGCAGTGCAAGGCCCCTGGGACTGCTCTGGTTTGATGGGGTTTTCCTGGTTGTGCTCAGTCCTGGCTCGGCACAGCTCCGCAGGGCCGGGGAGCACCGGGGAGCAGCTCCCG